CCACAACCACAATCCCTCAGCCACAAAAAAATACTCTGAATATCTCCTAGTTTTTCTTTCTCCTTACTTTGCTACCCTGCTGCTCTCCAGGTAAGCTCTATCAAGACTGCAGCTTCAAAAGAAAACCACCATACATGATAAAAAAAAAAACAAACCTTTCCCAGCCTCCTTTTAAGCAGGTCTCACCCAGCACTGAGGCTACATAAGGGGATAGGTGCCATTATTTTTTTCAGGTGTGGGGGTTATGCTTCTGACTGGGGACATGTAGGCTAGGGAAGAACATTTTTAAGTACTCTTAGAAGTTTTTGAGGTGGGACCGTTATTGTTTGTTTCAATGGTTTTGATTTTTGAAGACAGACAATTTAATTTAATAAATGTTTTTTCAAGTATTCTGAGAAAAAATGTTTTGATAGTTTGCTTTAATATATTACCATTAAATATTTTTGCTAAAGTAGTTTAAGTTGATATCTTAAATTATTTTTTTTTCTTTTTAATAATGGTAAAACGAGTTTCATTTGCTTAAATATAGCCTCACATTGGGGATGAGGGATAGTAATTTAGCTAAACTGAGAATTCAACTTTTAGCGTTTTTCAGTGTCCAAAAGCAAAATTTTTTCCCCTGAAGGGCTAACAATTCTCATTTTAATGGGGAAACTTAGGCTAGAAAAAATTGTACAGTTAATTGGGTTTTTTTCTTCTTGTAAAACCCACCTTGCTTCTCTGCCATCTGTTACTACTTGCAGTACATGTAGTCATGAGAAATTCTAGTTTTAATGAGGTTTAGTAGTAATTGGGGCTCTCTTATTACTTGTTGAAAGCGTGCAAGGCATTCTTCTCACTGCAGAGTTATATATATAAGTTCAATGACATTTGTCACAGTAGGAAAAAAAGGGCATTTTGTGCGATAAACTCTTTGATATGTTTTTTTCTAATTCTGTAAGTTCACTTTTTCACCGCTTCAGAAAGTGTTCTGATACAAAAGGTGTGCTGGCCGTTAGCTTAAGTTAGCAATGTTCTGCTATATTGCTCATCTGCTTTACCCAAGAACACTTTAATTGCATGAAAGCCCCTGGGGTTGTTTGAGCTGGGATCCCACCGTTGCTCTAGCATTCGGTCCTTGTCCACAGGCTTGTAAAAAACCAAAACTGAAGCATGGCAATTTGTTACCAGCTTGCTGCTCTCAGATTGGGAAGCTTAGTGTACATTTGGTGTGTCGGTAGATGGGAAGCTCCTCTCAGATGGTAAGCTTTGATTTGCGGAGCGGGAGGAGCTCCGTATCTTCCAAGAACAGCTCTGTGACAAAAAGGGACTCAAGTTGACGTGCTCCCCCTTCTGTGCTGGGTTGACCCCATTCAGCATAAACGATTGCTAGTTTAAGCGCTAGTCTTGCAAACTCCTGTGGTTTAAGGAGCCGTTCTGTTGGGCTGAAGTGACAAAGACCCTAGAGGCGAAGGGCAGTTGGTGACTAACAAGGAGACTTCATTAATAGCTGAGCAGTCGCATCAGACTGCTAGCTCACCTGTGCAACTTCTGTTAGTAAAGGCTGCAGCAGGAGTCTCATCAGAGCCACAATTCGGGAACGTAATCGAGACCTTAACAGAAGCCGCAGGAGATGAACATGCAGCTCTGCTGTGCTGTCGGCTTTTAGCAATCTAATGAGTGGGTGTGAAAGCATGTGCCGCAGGAGCAGGGAGGTGGTGAGAAGAGGGGCACTGTGCTTTCGGGGTTACCTTTACTATAACTTGGTAAGGCTCAGAGTTCACAGGCTTGACAGTATGTGACGGGCAAAGGCTACTGCATGAAAAACCACCCCGCTGCTTTGAAGGACGTGGCTTTCAGAGTGCAAAGCAGTTGGTTAGAGATAAGCACAGGAGAGCAGAGAGGTGGACTTTATCATCAGCAGCTGTCGAGTGGGAGGTGTGTTTTTTTCAAAAGCAATGACAGGAGAGGGCAGAGTCCCGCTGTGCGTTAATCCATGACATGTCCTGTGTTTCAGGGTGGTGCAAAATCAGATGCCTGGAGAGGGTGTGAGGCAAGGAGCCCCGTCCACCCGCAATGAGGAAACGGCAGCGTGCATGGGTGTGGAAAGGGCCAGGCAGGCTGATGAGTAAGTAGCAAGGAGGTCAGGAGCGCTTTGCAACGGAGATGCTCCGGCTGCGTGCCTGTGTATCCAGGGGTGGATTATCTCTGGGGGACTGGACCTGCGATGCCTGCATCGCCCTCCCTGATGCTCCAGGGCGGCAGTGTGATTTCTCCAGGCACAGCTGATGAAAGATCTGGCCCTGCCTCCTACAATAGGCTGGAGATGGGTTTCACCCTCTCCGTTGCTTATTTCACCAGCAGAAAACTTGGAGGACGAGGCTTTCTGTGGGTTAAAGGAGTGGTTATTCCCACAAGCAGTGACTGACGGCTTTTAAAAAGTGTGGTGTAGGAGCTGTGCAGTATTACCAATGTCAGCAGTCCAAGAGCTCCTCAGTAATCCTAGGGTGATAAATTGGTGAATGGATCAAGTAGGGAAATTCCTAAGGGTTGCTTTACAATTTAAAAATTGGAGAAAGCAGCTTGTCTGTGTCATCTCAACAGGCGAGCAAACAGCGGTCACAAAATGATTTCACAGCTCGTTGTTAGACTGCTGAACTCTGAATACTGCTAGGGAGAGAAAAGCGCTCTGAAAAAGATGACAGACGAGGTCTGCAACAGTGTGCAGAAAAAAAAAGCACTACTTAGATTTGCGTCACGGAGAAAGGTCATGGAAAGGCTGTAAAATGAGAATCCCAAGGTAGCGCTGTCCTTCTCAGTCTCTGTCTTAGCAACACCGGAGATGGCAAAGGGAAAACCTTGTTCTTCGGAAGCTGTAGATGGCTGCGGAGCAAAAGTACGCTCCCCACCAGACAGCTTAGTCAGCTCACAAACTTCTTTCATTTGGGGATTCTTCCCTGAAGCTCGCAGTACGCGAAGGCTCTGGTGGCATCCCTGATATCAACAGGATGCTTTTAAGAGCTTCTAGCCGAGGCTCAAGGAAGGCTTTAGCGAGCCCTTTCCCGAGGGAGCCTGGTGCGTGATGTGAATTGTGGCAGTGGCTCTGAATGTGGTGGAAGAGACTTGAGCGTTTTACCAGGCAAGAGCCGCTTTGCGTGTTTGTGCTGATCTAGGCTATAACCCCTAGCTGGATCCTAGAGGAAGGGAGCTATATAGGATTCCTCCTGCTGTTGGGGGGTCCCGGAGGACCCTCCGGGTGTCCATGCCAATGGTGCAGAGGCCACATGGGAGCTGAATTTCTTATGAGTCCAAGCTTGTCTTGTCCTCTCAGAAAGGAATGATCAGTCACAGGAGACTGCCTTGGTTTATACTGAGCTCTTTCCCCTATAAAAGGAGAAAACCAGTCTGGGAAAACGCCGCAACCTTTTGTGGCCACAGAGTCAGGCAAAGGAGCTTCCCTTCCGCAGGAAAGAGTTCCTCCCTCAAATAAACCCCAAGCAAAGCGCAGACCTCAATTAGTGCCTGAGCAAGGACTCGAGGCATTCCCCAGCACGCGTGTTATGCAAGGGTCAGGTTCTGCTGCCCTGATTCCCGTTCCTCCCCGAAACTGCAGGCATTTAGGCACATGCCTCAAATAGATGAGCAGTCCCACCTACCGCGCCGGTCTGCCCCAAAGCGTCCCGCTGAAGCAGAGCCAGCAGCCCTAGTTTCACAAGCACTGACACCCACTGGTCCTATCACTGGGCTCATCCAGCAGCAGGAGCATCATCGGTGATGTACCCCTGTCTCATGGATCTTAGCTCTCTTCCTGCCCTCATAAAGGATCCATAGGAGAGCCAGATTAGGTACAAGATTAACCTACTGCATTTTTTGACCGTTTAAAAGCTCGTTGATGCTAAATCAGAGAGCAGAGTACGTTACAGGACCCATGTAATCCACTGAGATTCCTAAAGCCGGCTTGCTATTTGTAAGCTCTCAGGAATAACTGCAGTGGACATCTCTTCCCTGCACCTGGACCCCCAATCCCACCCATTCCCATCACATAAACACCTATGAGGCAATTTAGGGCTGGGGTCTCTGGGGAAATGCAGCTCTGGTTATGAAACTGCTTTCCCCCTACAAGCCTGAGACCCGTACCATGGCACAGCTCCTTTTCTGCCCAACGCAGATTCTTGCAGCGACGCTTGCCATCCCCAGGCATGGGAACAGGGCTCCAGCCACAACGTGGGTACCGCTTCCTAGTCCTGCGGTGCGAGGAAAGGGACTGGAGGTGCAGGAAGGAGGGGGCAGTATCGGTGCTGCCAGGCATGGGGCAGTCGTGGGGAGGAGCAGGGCTGCGGTGCTGCCCTGCATTCCTTTCTGCATGGGCTGGTGGGCAAGACGGGCTGAGAAATGGAGTGGGTGTGTTACACCCTCCTCTACTCCGGGCTCTCCAGCTGCCACCCTCTGCCACAGCCAGTTGCTCCCTGAGGACTCTCAACTAGAAGGACCTTGATCAGCTGCATTTTTAAAAGCGGGACTTATCCTTAGTCTGCTGGGATTAAAAAGGGACGCAGCCTTAGCTACTCCCCAGAACTCAGGCGGCGTAAACAAGTGTTTTGCAAACCCCAGGACCAACACCAATCTGTTGCTGTCAGCAAAAGCAAGCACTCTGCCCTGGCTGGGGCCAGGCTGTGAGCTTCACAGCGGAGTTTGAGACCCCGAACCCACGGTCCCACTAAGGCTGGCGATTGTGGCTGCACCCAGCAGCTGGTGCCTGCCCTGTGGGGTGCACAGGACTTGTCTTCCAAGGGTTCAGATGTGCTTCCAGCAGAGTCGTTGCATCCTCCCACTGGTAGAAAAGCAAAAAATGGGAAGGAGGGCAGAGAGGCTCAGACAACAGTTCGTGGGATTAATTTAAAAGTACATTCTTCCATAGGTTCAATCTGTTTCACAGCTTTTTTCTGCCTGCCTGGCTTCCTCTTGGGGGATGGCCACCAAGGTCCCATCTCCACTGGCAGGGGATGCCAGGGAGCTGTCTCTCAGTCACTCTCGCTGCCGGTTCGGTGGGATGCTGCCCCGTGGCCGTGCTGCGGCCTGAGGCAGGCGGGGAGCGCTGCCCTGCCAGCGGACAGCGAGACCTTGCTGACTGAGGACACGCTGCGGGCCAGGGGCTGCGTGGGGAACATAATCGTGCCTCGGGGTGCCTCCAGGAGCTGCCAGATCTCCCCCGAGGTGGAGCTGCCCAGATACTCCCAGGGCCGGCGCCCGCTGCCGTCCCGAACCTGCACCTGGCACCCCAGCTGCAGCACCAGCACCTTGATGACGAGCTGGTGGCCGTGTATGGCAGCCAGGTGCAGCGGAGTGTACCCGCAGCCCGAGCGGGCGTCCACGTCCAGGGCCAGCCCAGCCTGCTGCGCTGCCGCTGCCAGCTCCTGCAGGCCTGGCCCATCGCCGTGCTTGGCCAGCCAGTGGAGGACTGTGAAGCCTGACATGAAGTCCCGCTGCAGGGCCAGCTCCGGCTCTTCCAGGAAGAGCCCCCGCACCCGAGCCCAGCACCCCGCCGACACCGCCACTAGCCAGGCGTGCTCCCGCTGCCCCAGCGGCACCAACAGCCCCCGGCTTAGGACGTTCCTAGGGGAGCTCTTGGAGGGCATGGTGCGGGGCTGCCGCCCACGCTCATCTGGCAGCGATGGGGTGATGCCCTGCACCTCCAACAAAGCAAGCTGGCACCTGATGCTCCTGAAGACAGGCAGCGGTGCTGGGGGGCTGCTGGCTGGGGCCTGGGGCCCCGCGGGGCCCTGTGCTGGCAGCGAGGACTGGGACGGGGGTGGCTTGGCAGGGGGTGGCTGCAGGGACCAGGTTGGTACGGGTGCAGCAGCAGGGCTTGAGATGGGGTTGGTCCATTTGGGGCCAGCACCCTGGATCTCCTGGGCGGGGATGGGGACGGGCTGGTGGGGAGCTGCTGCAGGGACCTGGACTGTGAGGGGGGCAGCCGGGTGGAGGGCAGCACCTCTGGGCCTGGTAAAAGCGGTGGGGACGGGGAGGGGCTGGCGGGGAGTGCCTGCAGGGACCGGGACAGGGGCAGCACCGCCGGGGCGGACAGCAACGGCAGG